GACTTGCTAGTTTGCACGGAGTGTTTGCAGTGGGTACGATTCCCACTAAGGCACAGAGTGTTTGCTGGGGGTCCGGTTGCCACTAACTGTTGAGAAAAGAAGAAATGGTGTTTGCTGTGGGTGTGATTGACATTGTTTTAAAAGAAGAAGAAGAAGAAAATATGTGTTTGATGTAGGTGTGGCTCCCACTGACTGTTTGTTTCAGAGGTTTGGTTGAGAATCAATGTGTTACTTTGGGCTGGGCCCGTTCGGAAATGAAAAACAAGCAAAGACATGGATAGGAGGACCAGGCTCCTTTAAACCACCAGTACTTCCAAGGCACTTTTCTCCAATGCTGGAAACGTGCTGCAGGTTTAAACCACCAGTACTTGGGCACCTGGGCCGCGGGTCCGACACTTTAAATTCTCGAGGCGCGAAACGAAAACGATGCCACCAATTGAATTTATCAATGGCGGTTCTCGTGTGTGACGTTTCAGCCTCTTTTTCTTGGGGCGACGAGTTTTGGACTGCAAGGTGGGGGCCGTGTACTTGTGGCTCTACTCCCTGTGTCAGAGGACGATTTCACGACATGTGATTGGTTCCGAGGCATTGTTCAGTGTCGTAGGTTCTTTTTTCCCTTCTTTTACCTTTTTTCTCTTGGGGTGTTTGTGGTTGTGCTTGGAGACTTTTGAAGTTTTCCCAGGTGGGGAAAAAACAACAACAACGGGCCTAGCTCAGTTGGTTCACCCACCAACTGTTGAAATACAGACCTGTGTTCGAATTCAGATGGAGCTAGATGAATGACATTCCTGAATTACCTTGGGCCGGTCTGTTTCACGATGATATCTCAAGGCCGTTGCCCTTTAAACCCCACCACTACCTCCGAGCCTCTTTTTGCTGAGGCACAAAAGAACTGCACGCCAAGCTTTCCCGAAGCACCAGCTTGACCTTTTTTAAGCTTTTGGCTGGTGCTGCCGGCCATTCTGCTCCGGTGGTGCCCGGCCTCCGAAGACTGCGGTCTAGGCTACATTTTGCTTTTTTTTTTTCCTTTTGCATTTCGCGTTCGCCTGCGAAAGGTAGAGGTGGTGTAAAAAAAGAGGAGGAGAAAAAAAGGGAGGAAGAAGGAAAAGAAGGGGGGGAAGGGGAAAAAAATCCCATGGGCTGTGCCTTTAGGAGTACACAGCATAGTGGCGCACGGTGGTTTGTCTCATAGAGTTCCCGATGCATGAACAGTGACGTTGAGGGCTTGTTGCTGGTCCAGAGCGCTGTTTGGGGGATGCTTCTGACTGAACGGCTTTTTTAAGGTATTATCTTCGAACCTACAGAGAGGCCCAAGAGCTATCCAGAGCAGGGATCCCTGCAAGCATAGCTTTCTACCTCTCTTCGGTGAAGGGAGGTTACCTCTCTCGGTGGGGAGAGGTAACGAAATGTTTAGTGGTAGGTAGGTAGTGAAAGAAGATATGTTCCATGACATGGCAGAACGCCAGTTAAAAATATGTGATGTGAGAGAAAAATATACGACTGTCCTGGAATTCAATCACTGAATCTCTAGAATTCATCCACAGAAGTTTTACAGGTATGTCTCATCTACAACTGGCTAGCCTACCCTCTCCTCCCGGCCAAGTTCTTGAATCTGCTAGGGTTACTGGATGGTGCAACTCATTGCGGCTATGCAATCAATGCTGTTCGGGCCTTGAACCCAGAACCTATCTTGAATGGTGCAACTCGTCTCAGCTATGTAATCAACGTGGTTCCAGGCAGGGTATAACCTGAGTGGGCCTTGAACCCAGAACTTGTCTGATGCAACTCAGGGATGCAACCACATGGATGGCATGTCGAGTTATTAGCAGTGATCTTTTTCTGACTTGATGTTGGCAAGTTCGTGAACTGAGGCTTAGATGGGTGGGCTCAGAAACTGTGACTGATATAGCCAGGGTGCTTGGGGTCACCTACCACTAACAGAAACAAATAAGAAAGGGTAACTGGTGTGCTTTTGGCAATAGGTAAACCCCGGACTTTTCATTTCCTCTTTCTTGCCAGTGAAGAAAGGGGTCATCTACCAAGCAACTAAAAATGAAAAAGAAAAGGGTAACCAGGAGGGTAGTCTGGCCGACCGTTGGTGCCCCTAAAACGTAGGCGGCCGACCTCCCTATGGTAGGTGCTGTTGCCGCTGACCGGTAGGCGACCGGTACACGCCCCACAGTCGGAAAAAGGAATCAGCAGGGGTCCTACCGGACCTGCATAGCTCTGTCGGCCTCACCGACAAACTTTCAGCCCCGGGAAGCTTCGTAGGCTCCACAAAAGTGAGAGCAGAGCAGCACTTCACACCATTTTCATGCTCTCACTTTTATAGAGCGTTTGTGTCTACACTGTCTAGCCCTGTGTTTGTCCCCCTCTTTAGTTCTGTTCACGAACCCCCCAAACACCCCTGTCCGCCTCCCCGAACACCCCACAAACACACCCTGACCCCCCCTCAGAGAACCCTTGAAATAGCCCCCAAACACCCCTTGAACCTCCCCCACAGAACCCCCCAAACAACCTTTGAATACCCCCTAAACACCCACTGAGACTCCCTCACGCCCCCACCTCCTGCCTACACCCCCCTAAGTTTTATTGCAGATTTGGGTTGTAAAGCTTTCTTCGATGGTCGTCGCTTCTTGTAGTCAGCGTAAATGAGTGGTGTGGATGCTTGCAAGTCTGCTCGCGAAATCCAACGTGTGTTGTCATGGTTGCAATGCTTGAAGGTGACCTTGTACTGAGTCGGCTTGTTGCCATACTTGCGATATGTGATGGCCTGATCGATCTCATGATGACCATCCACAGTGGTAGGGTCCTGTGATCATTGACCCGAGAAGTCGTCCCTCTTGGCTGGTATGTAAGTAGCCAGCTGATGCGTAGAAAAGACTGGGTGGATCGGGAATGTGTCGGGATGTCAATGATGAAGGACGGGCAGTCAGGCCAGCGGTTGACGTAACGCTCCATGGTCCAAACCACTTGGGGAGGAGTTTGCGCACATCTGGTTTGAGTGCGAACTACTTGGAGGAAACCCATACGAGGTCACCCGTGCGAATGGGACATGGTACACAACGCTGATTAGGTTGTTGTTGCACGCACACTCGGGCCTTTTGCATGTTGGCGCGGGCTTTGGCCAGCAAGTCCCGAAGCTTCCAAACGGAGGCGGGAGAGCAAGGGGCGTCTATGTCAGCTGCTCGAGGGAAGAGAAGATTGATGTAGATACGACCTTTTCGGCCATCGTGGTGCACATGAAAGGAGTCACGACAATCGTTGGATGCAACGAAGTGTTGCATGCGAATTTGATGTCGCGGAGGCGGTCAACCCAGTCTTTCTAATCCAGACGGATGAGCGTACGGAGCATCGTTTGAGTGCTTTGAAGAGCCTGCTCCATTTGCCCCTCCGTTTGTGGGTGTCGAGCTGAACTTAGTTTCATCTTGGTGCCAGATTCCTTCACCAGGGAAGTTCAAAATGCCAACATGAATCGAGTGCAGCAGTCACTAACAATGTCTTTCGGAACGTTGTGTTTGCAAATCCAGACGGTCTGCAAGAGTCGTGAGAGCTTAGGAGTAGTCGTGTGGAGTAGTCGTGTGGAGTAGTCGTGTGGAGTAGTCGTGTGGAGTAGTCGTGTGGATTGGCATGGAAGAAATCACCCGTACTTAATCGGTTAACGACCATAAGGATACCGTTGTGGCCGAGACGATCACGAGGGAAGGGGCGGTCACATCCATAGCAATAGACATTTCGGGTTCCTGGGGAATTGGCAACGGTTGCAACTGGCCGTAGGGGTTGCGGTTGCGAGGCTTGTTACATTGACAAAACCTCGCAAGACTCACAATACCGCGTGACGTCGGTGATGATATCGGGCCAACGGAATCGCTGACGAAGTCGTGTGACCGTCCGATTGATTGCGAAGTGTATGGCGAACTGCGAGTCGTGTGACTTATCAAGAAGGCGAGTCCGTAACTGATGGTCGTTCAACACGCATAGCAAGTCCTTGCCTAAGCTATGCAGAAGCAAGTAGCTATCAATGATGTGGTAATGGCTGGTCGACGGGTGGTCCGAAGAAGGCTCTTGCAGAGTGATGCGAACTCTTGATTGAACTTGTATCGTCGTACGAAATGCTAATGTAATTCCTTGTTGAATGCAAAGGCGTGATGCGTCATTGCGCAAAGATCTGGGCGCTGCGAGAGGGCATACGTCAACCGATTGCTGAGGTACGAAATATGCTTCGGTGTGATGTTGAACTGGTCGATGTAGTACATCCATCGCCCAATCGTGCTACCCACTGTGTCTTGCGTCTTGTCGTAGTTCAACGGGGTATTGTCGGTCGCCCATGTGAACTTATGACCCCCGAGGAGGACGTGTCGCCATCACTCGAGTACCGTGACAAGAACAAGCAACTCCTTCCTCACATCATCAAGCAAGTTGATGGGGGGCACATTTTGGCTGAAGTACTCAATGGATGCCGATCTTTACCGTTGTGTTGCTCCAAATTGTACCAATGTCGTAACCTGAAGCGTCGATGGTCACTCGCGTCGGCAAGGTGGGGTAGATGCTAAAAACGGGAGCCATGAGCATTGTCGTCTTAAGCTTGTGGTATGTAGTCCGCATTGCATCGGTGAAATCGAGGCACCTTCGAGGACAAGGGTGTGGTGATTCATGGGTAACCGCTAATGAAGCGTTGGTAGTACTCGACCAATCTCATGAAAGAGCGAACCTTTGTGGTGTTGGTGGGTTTCGATAATCTTGGATGGCTTGAATTTTGTCCACGAGCGGACGGATGCCTGGTGGCGTCACAAAGTGGCCGAAGTACTTGAGTTCTTGGCGAGAAAACTCGCATTTGTCGCGGTTAGCCTTTTAACGCAATACCAAGCTGATCAAAAATGGTGCGGAGGTTTTCAATGTGCTCGTCCAATGTCTGACTATACACCGAGATGTCGTCGAGGTACATAAGTACGAACTGGTCCAACATATCTCGGAACTCAATCATCATTGCCACTTGGAAGGTGGTCAGGGCAATCGTGAGGCCGAAGACCATGGATTGTGACTTCCTTCGAATGTTGACGACCAATGTAACGTCCGTGGACTCTGACTTCCTTCGAATGCGCGGCCCAAGACGTGCGAGTGATGAAATCTTGGTTGGAATTGTGAGTAGCTCCACAATCAATCAAGGTACTGCAGGTTGCCTTCCCGATGTGAATGCGGATGTCAAGCAACGAGGCATTGATGTCGTCATACCGTTGTGTTGCGTAATCGTGGTCGATCTTCGCAAGGTGCTCGCAAAGGTCCACAACCGCTACTTGGACGTCTGTCAACGGAGCTGGTACTTCAGTGTGGAAAAACTCACATAAATGAGCCATCAAGGCATTGCAATTGGATTTCGGCAAGGAACCAGAGTGGGGAAGAGGCATCCATTGGAAGTCTTGTAGTCAACGGGTCGAGGTCCTCAAGATCGACCATGACGACGAATTCCGAGTTGTAGTCAATGGCGGAGATGTTGAGTCACTTGCTGACCGTGGTGAAACCCACATGTCCTAGAGAGTTGCACGTGTTGGTCCAACGAAGGGACCAGCTGGACAACGTAGTCCTCGTAATTGTAGCGAGAACTTGCAACATCCGCATGCTCCCCGGACGTGTAGGAGTCTGCTAGCAAGGCAGCTGGGTTCGGTGGAATAGGAAGTGGAGTTGCCTCACTTCCCATGGAACTCAACTTCCGAAGCTCGGCTAGGGTCGAACATCCTCTTTGACTTTGACGGGCCATTGTGTTGGGGAGTGTACAACATCCCCACTTTTGTCAAAGCTTGTATTGGTCTTTGGTGAGGTTGAACTTGACCCATGGCAGGTTTGGTTGTCTCGCTCCCGATGTCGACGCGGATTTTGCCTCCTTTTTCTTGGAGTTGTGCGTTGCACCAGGACGACATTCACTTGGTCTCCTTCACTTGACCTCCTTTTCCTCGAGGTGTCCATTTGATTGAACGACAGCCACGGGCTGTGTCCGTTGTCCTTTTCCTTTCTCCACAAAATTCGGTTGCCCTTGCTTTTCTTTAGCAGCATGCCAAGATGGAGTGATCCCGGGTGATGCTCGAGTTGAAGTCGTCATAGCTCTGCTTCACTCCAAGGGCCAACGTCAAGCAATCAACCGAATGTTGGAAGAACTCACGCCACATGTGTTCCAACGACATGTTCAAGTTCGGAATGGCAACGATCTTTTGCCATTCGGTCAACCAATTGCGCGTGGGCTGACTTCCGTGGAACATTTGAAGATTTGGTTCATGCCCCGTTCCTTGGCGTCATTGACGATGAACCTTGACTTCCACTTGCTGGCGATGGTGTCCCGGGGGATCTTGGTGTTCAAATTCCCCATGTTGACCCCCTCTTGTACCCCCATGTGGTTGAGCCAAATTTGGCAAGCATCCTTGCTGTTGAGGTAGAGGGCTGCAATCTTGAGACGCTCGGGGACTTCGTGAAGTTCCAACTCCGTGGTGAATCCTTGCCACCAAGTGAGTGGATCGGTCATGTGGCAGTCGTCAAGTTTTTCAATCTTGAACGTCGGCAACTTGAACGGTCGAGGGGTGCTGCTGCTGCCTGGTTGCTGCTGCAGCTTTTGAATGTCGGTCTTCAACGGAGATAGCTGTTGACTGATCGTCGCTGGTCCTGCGAACGTGCCGATGTCGCCGATGTTGGCGGTCACGTGGTCGATCCGTTGTTCCAGTTGTTGTGTAGCCGGCTGGCTGCTACTAGGTCCACTGCCTGGTGAGATTGCTTCCCTATTCTCCAAGTCTTAATTTTGTGCATGGAAGTTGAAGTTGGTGCCATTCTGATGGTCCGTGGCGTCTGCTATCGTGCATGAGAGTCTCTGCAGCACTTGCCGCAGCGAGTTGCAGGTCAGAATGAGTTGCACGATCATCTTGGAGATCGCTTACATGGTCTGTTCTTCGATGGTTGGATTTGGCTGGCTCTTCATTGGAGTGAATTTCCATGCTTGGAGAGTGTCTGCATAGTCCATCTGGTGCTGTTGCAGTGCTGCACGTGCATCCTTGTAGAAGTGGTTCTGTGCTGCTGCAACCTCGGGCTGCTGTTGCCACTGTTCCTCTGCAGCTTGTGCTGCGGCCCAAACACAAGCGGCCTCCACTTCAGTAAGACGCTTCAATTCAGTGTCGACGAACACCAAGCATTTTGCAATGCGTAGGTGAAAAGCCTCGACTGTCTCTCCAGGCATCTACCCTTGCAGGCCGGGCAGACACAGTCCTGGTGAGCCTTGACCAGGTGTCGCTGCCGGGCCCCTGGGAGGGCTCGCTGCTGTGGCGGCCATGTCTGTTGTTTCTGGCTGTTGGCTCCTGCTAGAAGTTTGACGGTGTTGATGGCATTGCTGACGTACTGGAGGGGCAGGTGTAGGTACGACAGATCCTTGATGTGCAGCGATCCGGGCGCTGCGCCTGAGCACAGTCGGGCTTCAGACTCGGTGCTGCCGTGGCACTCGTACTTTTGACGTGTTGTGGCACGGATGACGTGGCCCTGCTGTTGACCTATTGCTGATGTGGCACGGATGACGTGGCCCTGCTGTTGACCTATCGCTGATGTGGCACGGATGACGTGGCCTTGCTGTTGACCTATCGTTGACATGGCACGGATGATGTGTCAGTGCTGCTGATGTATGGCTGACGTGGCACTTACCAGGCCAGTGTACCATATAAGAACATAGGAGAGGAGGGGAGAAAACAGGCAGGCCAACGACGCATACAAATTGCACTCTCCCTTCCCTCTATCACAAGTAGGATACTTGTCAAAAGGGAAAAAGGTTCCCCCTGAATTTGAAAAAAGAAAACAATACAATTTTTTTTCCTTATTTGAACAGATCAAGGGGTAGATTAGCACCTGGGGCGAGGTCCCATTAGCAAAAAGGATTGGATTCAGCTCCTGAATCTAGATGTATTTTAAGCAGAGATGTCGTAACGCAGTTCAATCTCAAATTTCTACACCTTTATACGAACACATCTAGATTTAGGCATTCTATCCAAGTCTCTTTGCTAGTGGGACCTCGCCCCTGGTTTGATGGTCGTGGGTAGAAGGAAAAAAAAATACAATTTCGCAGAAATTTCGTTTGCATGGAAAAACCCAAAATTGCAGATTGTGTAGTACGAGAATTCAAAGGAAGAAAACTTCGATCGGTTCCTCCGGGAGCAATCATGAAGTTTGGAGATTTCCAAATTCTTACAGTGAAAAACAATTCCGCTAGAATTCGCAGGAATTTGAATCAAAAGAAGAAATAATAAAAACATACTTTCATCAGAAGTTGCAGTTAGCTGCAGGCGCAGAGTGCAAATTCCATAGTTAACCTAATGTGAGGTTAAAACGATAGGTAGTTAGGATTAAGCTCTATAGGTAATTAGGGTAGGGTCCTTGGGCTACCTTCTTAATTAGACAGTTTCTCAAGGGTTTGATTCCCTAGTTGTCCTTAATTATGATTTGGCCCAAGTGTTGCTAACCTAATCGGTGTGCATTAGGCATCCTAATTAGCGCTAGTTAGTTAGCATGCTCACCCTAATTAGGCTGGATACTGATTAGCGTAGCGTTAATCTTAGTAAGCGCACGACTAATTAGTTAGTGTCTAGCCTAAGTTAGTGGCAAACCTTAACGTTGTGGTCATGACAAATCAGCTCTGACAAGTTTGATTAGCACTAACTTCTCAGTTAGCGCCTATAATAGTATAATATGGATTAGCAATAATTACCCATCACCACTAGTAGTGTTAATAACCAATTAGCGCATTAAAACCTGGTTAGTGCTAAACCATTGGATTAGCTTCTAACGGTGATTAGTGCGAATTATTAATAAACACTAATTCGCGCATTGTTACGATCCATGCTATTTTCGAAGTGCAAATTTGCAACGAAAGACAATGCCACCCAACTGCAAAAGAAATGACAGCACTTAACAAAGAGATAGAGACCAAGGAAGAAGAAAGCAGAAAAAGAAGATGTACACCAACATGACGAATGACAACTCCCCCCCTTCTCTCTCCACTCTTCTCCTCATCCGTGTCTCCGCCAATCTTATTCTTCTCCACATAATAATAATGAATGGTTTAACCAGAATCAATATGCGAAGTTCCCTCTTACTGCTAGCACAATAATAGGTCCACCACAGCCATGGCCTCCCTTGTCACAAGCCTAGGCTATGGCGGACTACTAAGGGCCCTAACCTAACGTGCAAAAGACAATGCAAAGCAGCTAAGGCCATTGCTCTTTTGGCCGCCATGCCTGACTTTGTCGTGAACTCACCTTCTAGATGCAGCGCCTAACAAGTTGATGAAGATGGTCCACCATAGCTAGGTAGGTACCTCGCCACTTCCTCCTCCCCCTCTTCTTCCTCCTCAAGTTGGGATGCTCGCCATATCCACGCAAGCGCCCAACTCGCCTCCAGCGCTCTGAGAACCAGCGCCCGCTCAAGCAGCATGATGCCCAAACTTGCATACTGCAAATGAGGGGGAGCTACTCACTCCCCCAGAAGATATAGCGGCCAACCAGCCCCACGACTGGTGACTTCCACGCCGCACGACCTCCAAGCAATCGGTACCTCCTCCCTTTCGGAGGGAAACATCATTGCAAACTCAAATATCGTCCGCACAGGCCGTAGACTCGAGCTGCTTGGACTAATACCCGCCTACCTCTAGGCTTGCGGCTACTGACCCTCTAAAAATGCTAACTTTTGGTCTTATTTTGCTTCGCCTCTAATACCCGACACATCCACCGGTACTTGACTGGTACCGGGCTACCTGCTACTCGAGTGTTTGTCCCCATTGCCCTAAGTGTCGCGGGCCTACTCCCCTCTTCTTGAGTGTTCTCCCCACTGCAACCCTCTAGGTCACGGCCATAGGTAAGTACCGGCCCCACTGGCGTCACAACACAAGTATTGGCCTTGGTGGCCTCAAAACACACAAGTGCCCTGTCGGGCCACACACACGCTCAGGCAGACGTGCACTCAGACAAGCTCACAGACCAACAAGCACACACACACACAGACTTCGAAAACTCAGCAGAATCCGGGAATCTCAGCAAGGCATACATTCCAGGGACAAAACTCAGAATTCTGCAGTGTTCTCAATGTTTGTTTTAGCAGGTCACTACATTACCCCCCTCTCAAGAAAAAGGTCCCTTCGAGTGAGCAACTCATTCAAAGTCCCTACAAAATGTGTCATAAGGTAGATAAGAAAGAGAGGTGTGGTGTGGCCATAGTGAGTGAGTGTTGCGGAAAACTTGGCAGTTTGTCCAAGGAATATCTGTCGTTCGTAAGCCTTCAACACGAGGAGCATTTTGTAACAAC